CCAAAGTCTATCCAACTTCTTTCCAACTTCTCATACTCCCACACTGCTATATTTATTTACTCTACACAATAGTTATGAAAGGAAGGATTGCATCAGGAGTAGCAGGGGATGTGCCACGGAACATGCTAGATGGAAAGCACTAGTGGAGGCATAGTTGACTATGAACTGGGAACAGGGCAAACAAGGCCAAGTGGACCCCATTGGCTCACAGCCTATATGCAGCTGTTCCTCCATGTTTATCTGAAAGTACTGACACTAGAAATTGTGCATCCACTCCCCACTCCAAATTTAATTTCTATACACTCAAAGGAGAGCCTAAAATCAGAAAAAAACAATGCTAAGAACTTGACTTAAAAAAATAATTCCCTATTGGCCCAAATGTGAAGCTAGTGTGGTGTAGTGGTTTCAGCATTAGACTAGGGCTCTGAAGACCAGGGTTCAATTCCCTGCTTAGTCATGGAAATCTACTGGGTAGCCTTGGCTGAATTACACATTTCCATCCCTAGAAAACCCTGCAATGGTTTTACTTAAGGTTGCCTTAAGTCAGAAATGACTTGCAAGCACACAACAAGAATTGACCAAAATAAGGACAGTAGTTTACCAATGCTAGACTCTTTAACAAAAACAACAGCTCTAACCCAGGGATGGATGGAAGGATTTTGGGTAATCTGTGAAACATAAACAATTACTAAGTCATAGAGAAAACTGAATGGCTACTAGTCACCATCTCTGTCTTACCTCCAAGGTTAGTTAGAGGCAATGTGCCTCTACATAATAGATAAAAAGTGTGCTGTCCCCCTGTCCTGCTTATACTATAGGAAACAAAATGCTGGACTTGAAGGGCATTTGGTTTTATCCAGTACAACTCTTTTGTTTGCTATGGAACTGCCTTTATTCATTATGGTCTTGAATATTCTGAAGTAGTTGAAATGAAACAGCACAGGAACTTAATGTACTGCCACTCATGCTGCATAATTATTTAACAAAAGTGAACCTAACATCTTATGCATTTTTACTCAGAATTAAACCTCACTGAGCTCAGTGGGTGTTACTCTCAGGTAAAGGATAGAGTATAACTCCTTAATTTGTATTTAGAATATGTGGGTGACACATTCTCTGACCACATGTCATAATCCCACAGAACCGAGCTTTACAGAATAAGGCAGTAAAAAAAATGTACATTTAGAGTAAGATGTAAATATGAGAAAGCCAATGTGCACATTGCAGAAGCTATCATTTGCTTTTTCTGTTATGGTTTGATAAAACAAATATTAATGACAATTAATACACTACTCTTCTTCTATTTTGTTTTTTTAATTTTTATTATAACAAACAAGCAATTACTAAGACAAACATGTAAATATACAAACAAATATTTCTAAGCTTTATATACAAAATTATAGTAGACTTCCCAGTTGAATTGACCTTCTTCTAGTAACTAAATATTCTTGACTCTTTTTATAAGAACCTATTTTAAGGA